AAAAAAAAAATCCTATGTAATTGTAGTCAAACAGAAACATCAAGTACTTCAACGACATCAGGTTTATTCAATAATTAAGATGTGTTAATATCAATCCCTAATTTTTATATGAAAAATTAAGTATTTTTAAAAATAGCAAACAAGAGGAGTTACTCTAGTAACAAAATACACTTTAGTTAGGAACTATAAAAGATTTTATAACCAAAAACATGCATCACAGCCAGGCGCAGTGGCTCACATCTATAATCTCAGCACTCTGGGAGGCCGAGGGGGGGTGGATTGCCAAAGCTCACAGGTTTAAGATAAGCCTGAGCAAGTGCAAGACGCCGCCTCTTAAAAGTAGCCAGGCATTGTGGAGGGCACCTGTAGTCCCAGCTACTTGGGAGGCTGAGACAAGAATATCACTTGAGCCCAAGATTTTGAGGTTGCTATAACCTATGACGCCAGAGCATTCTACCAAGGGCAACAAAGTGAAATCATCCCCCTCCCCCAAAAAATGCACCTGATAGAGAAATCATACATACACTCCTATTCCTATGAACAAAACCCACCTCAATAATTTAATTCCCAAAATGTACTAACTTTATATACAAAATTTTCCCTTCCCGTCATAAGAGCTTATCATTGATTTCAATTATTTCCAATAGTCTAAAGATTTTTCATACATTTTGTTGTTCCTCCCATTTGTCTGTATCCTCTTTCCCGAGTCATTAAATCATTAAAACCTGCGTTTTAAAAAACAAAATTCAAAAACAAATTGTCAAAAATCAAGGCACTTACCTCTTCTTTGTTTTCTGACAAAGTCAAGTCAATGCAGACAGGTTCATCTGTAACTGTGAAAGACATCACTGCATTCTTTTCTTTGTTTTCTGACCGGACCTGCCTAAATAACAAAACCAGCAATTAGACAGTAAGATAGATTTAATTGTTTTTTTTTAAAGGCAAACACCTAATGGGTGAGTGGATCACAGTATTCAACTCCCCTTGGCCTTTTTCATCTTCTGAAAGCTCAATAAGCTGACTGAAGAAAGCACTCATCTCACTACCAGGTAACATTGTTGCTTAGGAAAGCATTACACATTTGTGGCAAATTTAAGTAATGAGTAATATAAAACATCCTCTATTCTTTTTCACTAGCATAGAGGAGACCATTATGTAATAAACTCTTAAATTTTTCTTATAAAGATCTCTTTTTAGGCAGGCTCAATTTTTTATTACAAGTCAATATAAATCCAACATTAAACACATTAAAGCAAGTGCCATACTCAGCATTTGGATTCACAACACAGGCTGTGACAGATTCTTTCAAGACAAAGAAAGCTACCTTCCAAATCCAAAAGAACTACATACCAGACATTAATTAACCGGTCATGTACTGCTCCAGATAAGAAATAAAGACCTGTAATCCCATCACAAGGTTGGCTCTCATTAGGAGGTCTGATGGTAGTGAACCTAAGTGATGAAACTGGTGTTGCATGTCCTGTAAAGTGCTAGAGAAAGTTAAATCTCAGTTAAAAGAGTATGGATTCAAAGCAGTGACAAAATTAGCAGTCCATATAAATCATAAGCAAGCCATATGCGATACCTATCTGAAGGCAAAGCTCCCTGATGAAGTAACAAATTTACTTCTAAGGAAGTAAGATTATTTATACTATTATCCTTCACTTCTTAAAAAATCTTTCTGAAAATACTGCAAATTAAGATGCCCCTTCTACCTTCCATGACCCTACCACCCCATACTTATATTTCTTCCATTTTTGAAATAAAGATTCACTTAATTCTATCCATTTTAAGGGGTGGTGGGGTGCTCAGACACAGCCAAGGAATTGTAGGTCCTCATTTTACTCTCAGTGAGTCGAAACCACAATTTTAAGGCATCATCACAGCACCAAATGTTCAGTAACCCCCCTCTGCATAACTATTTTTTCTTCCTCAAAAAAAAAAAAAAAGGAAAATATACTAGATATCCACTGTTAAATACCACAGACAAAATGATAGATGCAAGCTAAAAAACAAAATTACCATGATCATTGCATAGTATAGATTTTTTCTATTCAAAAACCCTTCTTAAAAAAGCATTTTGTTCTATTTGTTTTTCTAAAACACATTAGGTAGACATGTCTAACCTATATGACAGCAATAAATCAGATTTGGAGGTTATTTTTTCTCATCAATTCTACTATATGATGTATTTGAAAATAAAGAATTTGTATTCTTAAAACAATAATATCCTGACCAGGCATCATGGCTCACACCTATAATCCCAGTGCTTTAAGAGGCCAAGGAAGGAAGAATATCTGAGCCTAGGAGTTTAAGACCAGCCTGGACAGCATAGCAAGACCCCATTTCTAAAGGAAAAAAAAAATTTTTTTTAAATCATCCAGGCCTGATGGAACACAAGTGTAGTCCTAGTTACTCACACAGCTGAGGCAGGAGGATCACTTGAACCCAGGGATCAAGACTGCAGTAAGTTATGATCATTCCATTACACTCCAGCCCAGAAGACAGAGCAAGACCTCATTCTTTAAAAAAACAAACAACCCCCCCCCCCACAATATTCTATGGCTCAAACTTCTGCCTTTCTCCACAAATACTCAATGACTCATATGCTTACAAATAATTTGATTCACTCACTCGGTAGACTTCTTTGGTCTCCAAAACCCACAGCTTTATTGTTCGACCCGCTGAAAGCAGCATCTTTCCATCTGGGCTGATACACAGGGAACTGACACTGCTATTGTCACCTTTCCATTTGCTGTATTGTGGAAGAGAATCAAAGCAGCTCAATAAACGAGGGAAAACTTTACTCACTGCATAAGATTAAATAAGAAAACAAATCAAGCATTAAAAATACCACCTTTGCATTCCCCACAGGCTACATCAGATAATCCCTAGACATGCCCCTACAGGGATGCCTCATTCACAGGGCTCCCTCAAACAGTCTGACCTTCCTCGGGCAGGCACAAGAGAAAGATTCTCTAGAGGTACCACACAACACGGGTGAGACTTATAAGAAGGTAAAATAAAATTGGTAGTTGTATTATCATTATCCTATGACTTATAAAGATGGACATTGCTGATGTTCGGGAAAGTATGCACTGGCTGGACAGCCATGAGTCCATCATATCCCCACATCACAATGCCTGTTTCTCTGGAAGGTTGGCCTTTAATTAATTCCCTTTACAACACAAATGACTTCTTGAGTTGCAGCCCAAAACACTGTTTCTATCCCAAATTTATAGCAATGGGGCCAGGCATCAGGCATGGTAGCTCACACCAGTAATCCTAGCACTCTGGGAGGCCAAGGAGGGTGGACTGCCTGAGCTCTTAAGTTCAAGACCAACCTGAGCAAGAGCGAGATCCTGCCTCTAAAAAAAAAGGCTAAGTGTTGTGGCTAAGACCTGTAGTCTCAGCTACTTGGGAAGCTGAGGCAATAGAATCACTTGAGCCTAAAAGTTTGGGGTTGCTGTGAGCTATGATACTACGGAACTCTACCCAGGGCAATAAAGTGAGACTCTGTCAAAAAAAAAAAAAAATCTACAGCAATGAACCTCCATGTGATAGGTAAAATAAATTAGGTACATATGATTCCTTTCCAATACCTCAAATACGATTATAAGCATGAGTTTTTGCAGTTTGTTACACACATTAATGCTTTTTTTTTTAAGAGACAAGAGTCGCACTTTATCACTCTCGGCAGAGTGCCGTGGCGTCACATAGCTCACAGCAACCTCCAACTCCTGTGTTTAGGCGATTCTCTTGCCTCAGCCTCTGGAGTAGCTGGGACTACAGGTGCCTGCCACAACCCCTGGCTATTTTTTTGTTGCAGAATTTTAAAGTAGATGAAAATGTGTTGTTCTGTCAGTCATATTGGACTATGTCAAATTAAGTCATTTGGAAAAACAAAAAAGATTAAGACATTATGCCATACACATAAAAATCATTAACTGATTAAAAAGTATTAAAATACCAGAATGTATTTATTGATATAATCTTGAAGTAGAAAAAGCCTTCTAATATAATTATCAATCAGAAATAAAGGAAAAGATGACCTGATTTAATTACATAAAACTTATGTGCCAAAAATAAGTCATAGAATTAAAATACAAGTAAAAGGTTAAGAGCAAATATCAAAAATATGTATTACTAACAAAAAATTAATACTCAGACATACATAGCTCTTTTATCTCAATTAAGAAAAAAATAGCTCAAAATGAAAATAGACAAAGGATATAAACAGGTAATTCATACAAATACAAATTGTTGATAAACATGAAACACTCAACTTACTAGTAATCAAAGAAATGCAGCAATGATGTACGAGGGAACCTTTAGTTTACCTTCAGGGGCTTCTAAAACTTTTGCCAATTTCTCATCAACTCCCACAACTTCAATGCTCACTTATAATATATATTCATTAGGTTGATACATACTAAAAAAGACATGATCACAAGCTTCCTTAAATCTACTTCCCTTTCAGTACTGAAAATGCCATCGGAGGCTAATACCCTCTTTATATCCTTCCCAAACACCCCACCCCCAACCTCCCTAAGAACTTTGCAACTCAGGCATAATATAGCATTATCCAGGAACCTATTAGAATTACAGGCTCTCAAACGCCAACCTAGCTAGAGCTACTAAGTCAGCTCTGTACACAAGTAATATATACACACATTAAAGTTTTAAAAGCACTAAAGTAGAAGACTCCTCTCTGGGAAATGTGTCTGGTCCCAGTGGAATAGCCCACATGTACTGACACTTCAAGGCTTCCCAATCACTAAAAATGAAGCTCCAAAACTGAAAAAAAGGCACACACTGACACCTATGCCTTCCAATAAAGCTTTTTAATGCTTCATTTTCAAATAGCAACAGGCAGCCGAGGACCTCCAATAATTTGAAGAATGCCTTTATCGTAACAAAGACCAAATCAAACAAACGAAAACATCTCAAAACAACAGACATGATGTAAGAAATAAACGAAACAATAGACATGATGCAAGAAACCAAAGACAAAAACTCTTCCTCACAGTTAGAAAAAAACATGCTGCAATTTAAAAAAAGAGACGACAAAAACCAGCTCCTAGAAGTTATAAATACGGCAAGAAGGGTGGTGTCTGTGGCTCAATGAGTCGGGGGCTGGCCCCATATACCAAGGTGGTGGGTTCAAACCTGGCCCCAGCCAAAAAAACAGCTGGGCGTTGTGGTAGGCGTCTGTAGTCCCAGTCACTCAGTAGGCTGAGGCAAGAGAATCGCCTAAACCCAAGAGCTGGAGATTGCTGTGAGCTGTGACACCACAGCACTCTACTGAGGGCAACAAAGTGAGACTCTGTCTCTTAAAGAAAAAAAAAAAGGCAAGAAAAATTTAAAATTCACCAGGTTTAGAAAATGAAATTAAGAAAATCTCATAGGTAACATAAGAAAAAGATAAAATGGAAAAGAAAATGTCAGAAATTTAAAGTATCCGTTCAAGAGATGCAGGATCTAGATGCAGAATATAGTACTAGAGAAAGATCAAAAGCATGAATGCACACACATGCAAAACCAGACAATGAAGTTATCAAATAAATAATAACATAAGAAAAATGCAGAACACAAATTTCTAAGCTAACTGATCCCATCAACTGCTAATTCAATTCATTAATTCTAAAAAGAACATAAAATTTTAGATTACTAAAGATAATTAAAATACAAAAATACTGGCTTCATGCCTGTGGCTCAAGCGGCTAAAGCGCCAGCCACATACACCTGAGCTGGCAGGTTTGAATCCAGCCCGGACTTGCCAAACAATGACGGCTGCAACCAAAAAAATAGCCAGGCGTTGTGGCGGGCGCCTATAGTCCCAGCTACTTGGGAGGCTGAGGCAGGAGAATCACTTGGGCCCAGGAGTTGGAGGTTGCTATGAGCTGTGATGCCACAGCACTCTACCCAGGGCAATAGCTTGAGGCTCTACCACAAAAAAAAATACAAAAGACTTTTAAAAAATGGAACAGGCCTTTGAAATGACTGAGGGAATATTATTTCCAAACTCAAACTCTACATCCTCAACCTATTAACCAATTTTCAAGACAAAATTAAAAACAAAATCTCTCTTGTACTCTTTTCTCAGGAAGTTGCCTGCTGAGATATACTCCACCAAAAAGGAGGGACTATACCAACAAAGAAAATGGAATCCAGGAAACAGAGGCTCCATCAGACAAGAGAAATTTTCAATGTGATAGGGGGAAAAAAATCCCAGGACAACTGCTCTTCAGCAGAGCTTGGAAGGTAGAGAAGTCCTCTAAGAAGTAAATAAAATTATTAACTGGTATGTCTAGAAATACCGATTGAACCTGAGAAAAATGATTGCAAAAATAAAAATGCTTTTAAAATAACTAATATCTACTCTACTAAAAAAATGAGAATGAACTAATGATAGGTATGTAAAAAAACTAACAAATGAAAAACAGTAAGCCCCAAGAAAAGCAAAATGTACCTCCCCCCCCCCAAAAAAACCCAAAGCACAAACACAGAACTATCTGAAGCTCCGCTGTCAGAAATAATAAATAGTGCTTAATCAAAAACTGTGAGAACAACTTGGGGAGAACTAGGAGAACAGCGGATGAGAGCTAAATCCTCATCCTCCGAAGTAGGAAATAATCAATAGATAGGATCTAAAATGGAAAGTAAAACCAAATAAACAGCAGCATAAGAAAGATAAGGACAAAGCTAGAAACACTAACTGGAAAATGGGAACAGAGCCCACTTCACAGGGTCATGATTAAATACAGACGTATCAACTATATGCTGAGCAGGGCCTTAAATATTATTAGTCTCTATATGAAAGACCTTAACTGTGAACTCTCATCCAGAAAACACTAACACAGGCTATATAGCCCACCCCTATGGATCAGAATCTCTGCAGGTTATTTCTGCCAGGTCACCGGTGTGGAAACCACTGCCTACTGCAGGTTTTATGGAGCATAAAGCATAAACACGTACCTCTAGTCTGATGACTTACTCATCTGCAGCTCCGGCACTAAACTTTCCCTGAAACTCTGAGCCTCGTCACCCTCCACTCCCCAGCCTCCCACCTCAGTCTGCTAGGTCTCATCTTTATCATAACGTCATTTCAAATTCAACTTGTCTAGAAAACATGAAAGCCATTTTCCTCTTCTCATCACCATTTCTATTACCTGGAGGTAAGGTCTGTCCTCTACTAAACATTATTTCCTAGTGTGCCCCTCCTCTCAATTAGTTTACTCACCTAGTAAGTTAAACTAAGGCTAAGAACTTAGTTCTTACCCTAAACTCCTTTCTATTACTCAATGCCCCTCCTCCACCCCACCTAGGTATTCTTGTTTGGTATCATATGCATTCTAATGTCCCACTATTATCCCACAACCAGATTATTCTAACAGTCTCCTCACTGGCATCTCTATCTTTAAACTAGCTCCTGCCCCTAAGTGTACACATTGCTGACAGACTGCTTTTTCCTAATGCATTATTACAACTCACATGACACTGACCTACAGTAGCTCTCTCGCTCTTACCAGATAGAATCTAAACTTCTAACATATATCTTTAATAGTAGGAAAACATAGTACCAGAACTCAAAAGAATAAGATTAGAATCCCTTATCTGCCACTTATTAGCTGTGGGACCATGAGCATCATTATCCTCTTCAGAGTCCCCACCTACATGGTAAAATATGTATCTAGTAGTCCACGCTTACTAAGAATCTACTATACAGCCAATCATAGGAATAGGTGCTTGAATACAACAGTTTATCTGTGATTTTCATCTATGACTGTTAAGGCCTGGCTTCTAAGAGATTCTGGCCCATATCACCTACCATCCATTGTTCCCTAGTACTACCCCCCCCCCCAAATGCGTTCACTCACTGGAGTTACGTCTTTCACTTTCCTGTCTCCTAGCCTTTGCTCCTGCCGTCTCCCCACCTGCCTTTCTGGACCCTTGAAAGGATTCTCCCATCCTTCCCTATTCAAATTTTACCTATCCTAGATTAACTGAAAGCCCTTCTCTTCTGCCACACCTTTCCAACACTACCCTACATATCTGACAAGGAATCACATGTTACCTCGTGTCCTCTCTGACACAGTTACTTTACTCCTGCACCATTTTTAGCTTTTACACATTAAAATCTCACATTCTGGTAGCACCCGTAACTCAGTGGGTAGGGCGCCAGCCACATACACTGAGGCTGGCAGGTTTGAACCCAGCCAGGGTCACCTAAACAACAATGACAACTGCAACAAAAAAAAACAGCTGGGCATTGTGGCAGGCACCTGTAGTCCCAGCTACTTGGGAGGCTGACACAAAAGAATCACTTGAGCCCAAGAGTTTGAGGTTGCTGTGAGCTATGACACTACGACACTCTACTGAGGGCAACAAAGTGAGACTCTGTCTCAAAGGAAAAAAAAAACCTCATGTGTCCAATCTTATTAAAAGACCCTTAAGAACAGACTCTAAAACCTTATTTTATCTATACAGCCCACATGTCAAGAGTCATTTGTCCAACTCTGCTGCATTTCCAAGCAGTGATCCACCTCTCCAATACAGCACAGCCATCAATGTTACTCACCACTTTACTTTGCATGTCTGTACATTCCATTCCACAATGTGTTTATCATCTGAACAACTATATAAACAGCCACTGTCTTGATGCCACTGCAAACAATTGACTCTGTTGTCATGTCCACCACTCTGCAGATTAAAGAAAATATTAAAGAAAAATAAAACTTGTTTTCTATAATATGATAATATAAACCCTAGAGTAATTACTCAATAGTTAACTAAAATGTTAAGCCTTAACCTACATTTATCCATTTTAGTTTTCCAGCTTCAAAAATGAGATATGCCAGTTAGACCTTCAAATGTTAAACTTTCCTTTCTCCTCTGTTAAGAAAAAAACCTACTTTGGCTGGGTGACTGTAGTCCAGTGCTTACAGCACCAGCCACATACACCAAGACTGGCAGGTTCAAACTCAGCCCAAGCCACCTAAACAATGACAACTGCAACAAAAACTAGCCAGGTGCTGTGGCAGGCACCTGTAGTCCCAGCTACCTAGGAGGCTAAGGCAAGAGAATCGCTTAAGCTCAATAGTATGAAGTTGCTGTGAGCTGTGACATCACAGCACTCTACTAAGGGTGACATAGTGAGACTGTCTAAAAAAAAAAGAAACACCTACTTTATACCCTAAGTCAAAGTATGACAGAATACTCTATTAATAAACAGTGGCAAAACATAGGGTCCAGAATCACCACTTAGTAGCGCCTGTGGCTCAAAGGAGCAGGGCGCTGGTCAAACCCAATCCCGGTCAAAAACTGGGGGAGGGAAGAAAAAAAAAAAGCAAATGTAGTTAAAAACATCCTGGGAAAATCTCACTTAAAAAATGTAGTTAACATTAGTTAACACTAACTGTCTCCTTGTCTTATGGAACACACAAAATCAACAATACTTTAAACATACACAGCATCCCACGATGCCTGCTCACTCAGGCGCAGGAAGGAACAGAGAAGATTCACTGTGAAGAGAATGTCTTACAAGCATTTCAGGCCAAACTCACTCCGAGTGTGACACTCTTTCTACCTGAATTCACAGAAAGGAAATACACTATGAACCACCACTACCTATCTAAGAATAAAAATAATTATTCAAAATCACTGAAGCTACTTCCAAGTAATACTGCTCCCACTTCAAAAGAAAAATATCTTAAAATGTTAAGTTCAGTTACTTTCTTCCCTTCTTATCAGCTCTCTACTCAAAGAACTAAGTCCTATACTACATGTGAAGAATTAAAGGATATGGGGCAGCACCTGTGGCTCAAGAAGTAGGGTGCTGGCTCCATATACTAGAGATGGAGGGTTCAAACCCGGCCCCAGCCAAAAAAAAAAAAAAAAAAAAAAAAAAGAATTAAAAGATACAGATAATTCCATAGAAAGAACTTAGCAAAAAAATTAAATATTCAACCTTGTTAGTAATCAAAAAAATACAAACCAAAACAAAGACATATTTTAGTCTGTTCATCTAGCAATTTGATCTGCATTACTAAGGCCCATGCTGCCGGGATTACAATAAAAATTACAATACACTGGTTGATTATAATAAAAGGACAATATACTACTGGGGCAGTGAAAATTAGCATGCCCTTTTGGAAAGCAACTTGGCTATGTGTCCCTTATTCATCCAACAAACATTTTGCTTCATATCACTTACGGTCCAGGCACTTTCAATACATTAATAATATTATATCTAAGTCCCAACCAAGTCATGTGAGGTAGGTTGTTTAAGACCCATTTAAGAGGTGAGAAGTTAAACTATTTATCCATGATCACACTAATAGAATTCAACCTCCAGAAAGAATAGCTCCAAAGCCAGGTCCTTTTCTACTTCACACTAGCCCAACACCCCCCCCTCACCCAGACCCTCTTGGCTCCTTTTTGATAAATTCATTTTAGAAGCAGTTCCAGGCTCTATCAGCATCACGCCTGCCAGCCACAGTAGCTGAGCAACTAACTACTGGCCACAAAGGACTGATCAAATCAAAGGATAGGCTCCTAACTATAACAGAGCTAAGAGATCACTTGAGGACCACAACAGACTTAAAGGAGGAGAGAATAAAGGGACAGTACCTTTTTGCTGTACAGATCTTCATACTTTTTAGTTTTTTTAGTTGTACATTTTGCCTATCATCTTTAATATTAGAACCGATTACTAAATTCAGATTTAAAATCATAAAATTTTAAATCTACCAGATTAGCTGGGGGGTTTTCATTGACATTGCTATTTTAATGAGATATGCAGTAGTGGCAATAACACAGCTGAAATATAGGTACTGATCTTCCTTCACTGCTTATATTGTAATTTAATGAAAAAATCAAGATACAAAATCAAAATAGATGAACAGAAGGAACTATATTTTTTAAATATATGCATAAAGCAAAGAAATACACAAGCATTAACATTAATTCTTGGTGACAGAATTTAAGTATAAAGTTTTTTCCTTTCCAACTTGATGTAGCTCCAAATTTTCTAAGGATAGAGGTAGTTTCAAATTTTCTATGGGTAGATATTATTTAAAATAGAAAATTTGCTTTATTTATACATACAAAAAGCATCCCCATACACACATACAGAAGTTCAGTGAACAGCAAAAATACACTGCAATAGATACTGTCTGCACAAATTATGCCAGTTAAAGTTACTATCTTCCAGTACTAAATCTACCCTTTCATAAGCTGGCCTCTGCTTTGCCAACTGGATCTGTAAGCTCTACCAACAGGGGGTGCTAGAGGAGACACACCTGGAGGGAGGACATAGGACTTGTTCCTTCAGGTCTCCCTTGTTTGTCATCACTTTGTTTCTTCACCACAGTGATGGGAATTCCCTCCAGCAGCAGCTGAACCCAATATGCAATTTTTCCAATACTGGGAGAACCAACCAGTCTCACCACCTCCCTTCAGAGACACCCATTCTGGGCAGCTGGAGCCCCCTCCTCAGCTTGAAGTCTAGACCTCATGCCCTTGCGGCCACTCCTCCATAAGAGAGAACAGCAACAACATAGCAACACCTGTTGCCAAAAGATCTGTTTCAGCAGTAATTCCAACTGCCTCCTTTATTCCCTTAATCCAAGAGGTGGGGAGCTGCTTCCTGCAGTTGCTACCTGTGATACCTTAAGCACTCTTAACCCTTTCTTATCTTAAACCTAGTTAATAATGCCTCATGCTCTAACCCACAGGAAGGACTATGTTACCTATCACAGCTTTTATCAAATATCACTATTCAGCTCTCTAAATGCAGAAAGGACAGAAAACTACACAGATCCCATCACACACCTAAAAGTTATTTTTTAACAATCTCTATGACCACTTTCCATCTCATACCACTTTTACATAATATATTTATATACACACTTACTATTAATTTACTGTGTAATTCTCCTTTTACTGTACTGTATAATAAAATGCTACCAACTGCTGTTCCAAGAGCCAACAGATCAACCTGGTCACTTGTTCCTACGGCTTCTGATTTCCTTTTTTTCCTTTGGGGACTTTCCTGTAAAGAAAAAAAGAAAAATGTTTCTATTTAGTATTTCAAACACTAAAACATCATTTATACACAAATACAAACGTACACCACCCCAAAAAGATACTTGGAAAGAGGGCAGGGGGAAAGAAGGTCTCAGGTGATTTTTTTCTTATTACTTAAAAAAAAAAAATCCCTCCAATAGAAAGGGAAGCTCATACTTCTGCCTTCCTGCCTCCTACCCTTGGGAAGAAACGCAGCAGATAGGAAAACCTGGTATTTTGGGGTATTCACCTAACAGGGCCCAGTAACCTCAGCGCTGTTTCCACTGCTCTGAAACCGACCACCTGTCCTGAGAGGTCCAACCCAAGTGAAATTTCCATTCCCCAAGCAGATATATACCCAAGGATCTATGAATCCATAAATCCACACCCAAGTAGCGAATTCTTCCCTCCTCATTCCTAATATTTCCTCAAATTCTAGCTTAGCTTTCAGGAAAAGGGACTCAAGCATTTTTATATGTATAAATACACAATTAACTTCCATTTGAGTCAACAAATAGTTTGAACTGTAACAGAAGCTCAGAGCACACACTAGAGAAGTTGTTCAATGACTGGTCAAACACTAGTCTGGGAGTTCCATGCTGGCTTGGTGATTCTAATAACTTAAGAGGCCCAAGTTTCTTTCTAGTGGCAAATATCACAAGAATTCTTTGATTCACGTCAGAAGTGATGTAACAGCTCATGTCTGTTAAGAGTACTACATCAGAGTTTATAATGCTTGGAAAAAAAAGATTTTTTTTTTGAGACTTGAGTCTCAAGCTATCGCCCTGGGTAGTGCCATTGAGTCATAGCTCACAGCAACCTCTAACTCAGGCTCAAGCAATCCTCTTGCATCAGTTTTTCTATTTTTAGTAGAGACGGGGTCTCGCTTTTACACAGGCTGGTCTGGAACTTGTGAGTTCAAGCAATCCACCCGCCTCAGACTCCCAAAATGCTAGGATTACAGGCATGAGCCACTGCACCTGGCCTGAAAATGTATTATTTTAGAACTTCTCTTCCATGGGTGGGGTTTTTTGTCATTTGAGTTCACCAGCCTTTATGTTTTAGCATTCTTTTAGTGTAAAACAAACCAATACGTAGAAAGGAGAACATTTCCTAATAGTGTAGGATCTTCGCAGCACCAAAAAAGGGGGAGGAGCCTGGAATACATAAAAATCTGCATAATACAAGAACCACCAATGACAACAATGTTACCAGTGCATAAAGAGTATCAGAAAAAGCATTTTCTTTTTCATTTAGTTATCTCAGGGAGGATGTCACATGATGAAAAGCAAAATGATTATAACTTCTTAAAGAAAAAATACACATTTTGAAATACTTAGAAATGTATCTAAATTAATAAACCCAAAAGAGCAGTTACAATTAAAAGCCAAAGTATAAAAAGTCCGAGGGTCTCATTAGTAACATTTAATTTGCTTGAAACATTGAAACCTTAGCATTAGGCGGTCCTCACCGCTCCTTCAATTACTACATGCATTTCTAAAGCTACATGTAAATGACCCCAGAGGGTAAATATGACTTCTGTATAAGGTTATAAACACAAATACCTATTTCAAGGAAGGACTGTGTGGGGGAAGGGCAGGGGAATACGTGTTATGTTAGCCCACTACTACCTAATCAGAAAATTCTTTCCAAGATTTCACAAAATATTTCTTCTACTTATGGGTTTCCCAAATCAAATCAAAATGATCTACACTGAAGTTTCTCAATGTGTGAAACAAAGACTGGTCCAAATAGGAATAGGTTTTACTTCAGATTTTAATTTGTATCAAAAGCACAAAGAGGGCAGCGCCTGTGGCTCAAGGAGTAGGGTGCCAGTCCCATATACTGGAGGTGGTGAGTTCAAACCCAGCCCTGGCCAAAAACTGGGGAAAAAAAAAAAAAAAGCACAAAGAATTCTAGAAATTAAACATTAACATAACCAAAACCTTAATTTTTCTTATCTGCAAAATCTCTATATTTTTTGTAGAAGCAAGCAGAGGCAGGTGGAAGATCCACAGGATTTATGCCCAAATTTAAGGATCACTGATCTAAATCTGAATGGTAATTCACTTAATTTAATCTCAAAGAACTCTTGACTCATGTTTTTCAGAACTGGATGGTCCTTTTAAAAATAACTTCTCATTCAGCAGAATAAGCATGTCCAAACATGTAACACATCATCCAGATCATAAGTTTATATAACCAGTGTACACTTTAACAAAATCTAGTATATTAAGTTTTACTCCCTACCAAATATTTCATCATAGATTAGGACACACACTTTACTATCTGAACATGTCATTTCTGTAACTGAAAAACTTCAATAACTCCCCAGAGAAGACTATAACAATATAAACAATTCTACGACATTCAAAAGCATCCACAATTTGCCTTTAACCCACCTTTCCCAGCCCCTCTCCAATTCCACCCTCACATTACACTGCTGAAACACTCATTTTGTTTGTTTTTCCATTCTCTTGGAAGGGATTTTTCCTACTCATCTCAGTTTTTATTGTTTAAAAATCCTATCCATGCTGTAAGGCCCACCTCAAATATCTCCTCCATAGAAATTTCTCTCTTAAGGCACAAGTCAGACTCCACACGTTACGGAAATGGTCAATCTGAATGTGAATTGTCTTTAACTCTTCTTTTACATCTTAGTCACACTCACTTTTGTTCCCTCTGAGGCTCCTTTGTACAATGCACCAATGACCCTACATGTAAATATACAAAGTAATAAAAAGCCAGACTAATAATTTAGTTCACATATTTGTAACTGGAAAAATCTCACTTGCTGAAGCCACAGGAATGACTCCCAAAAGGATGCAATTTCCTAGACTAAGGAGTCTTTTCCCACATGAAGGGCAGATTGAACTAAGCAATAAACACAAAATCCCATCTGGTAAAATTTATCAGCTTTTAATCCAGAAGATAAAGTCTGAATGGCCTATGTGCAAGACTTATAAAAGTAAGAACTGTACGGATGAGGTGAAAACAGGAAAAAAAAAAAGCATATCCAAGTGATGAAAAGTCTGAACTTAATAAGTAATTAAGCAATGACTTTTTAGACTGAGTTCCCACAGTAAGAAGAGTTTCCCTGGAGACCACGCACACACCCATAATAATAATTATATATATATATGTATGTATGTATAGATAATTAAATCAAGTTTCACAAAAAAATAAAGTACCATGTGTAATTGATATTTTCCATTCTATTTTATTTTTAAATGCCATCATGCCCACTAAATCTTTTCAGAATCCATTAATGGATCAAAATCTACTTTTGAAAAATACTGACTTCTACACACTGAAAATTATACCCAAGTTTTTGTTTATTTGTTTTACAGAGGAATATATCCTTTTATTGGCCCATTTTAAACAATACCTAAAAATGAAACTTCTTTTAAAGGCTTCAAAAGATGGCAGGACCTGTTTTTTCCTCAGGCCCATAAAAACAAGTAGCATCAACGGTTACTATTTTGTAAGAAAAACTTAGTCACAGAAATATGTGGACACAGGGAGCTAGAATTTATGGAAATTTTTCTAAAAGAATTATATAGCTCATAATACTTCTATCACATTCTAAGCAGGCATTTATCAATCTTTGAAGTTGTGTGATATTTAGATAGATGATATGTGAACATTTACCTGACATGTAAATAGCAGAACTGTAAATAAAACTTGGATCTTTTCAAATATTATGCTTCTCCTACATCTTCATGCTGCAACTAGCCTCCTATTCCATTTCTTGGCCCATCTTACTGCCAGTTCGCCATGTGTGGAAGTTTCATGGATAACAATGAACAAAATGTGTGCTTTTTACATAAAACTATAAAACAACTAAATTCTAATACACAGAAACTATTACTGTCAAATTGGATCTAATCTACAAACTTTAGTTGGAAGTTTAAATTTTGGTGAGCCCTGAAGTCAGAGCACTGTACAGGAACACATCTAAACTGTGCTACAACTTTTACGGGATGGCAATGTGGACACTCAGTTCAGATTTTTCCTAGAAACATCCTTCCTTAATGCTACCAGGCTTGTCTGAAATGCCATGTGCTTCATCAACCCAGTACCAATCTGAATAGTCACTTTAACTGCAATGAGAGCAAAGCAACATAAAGACATTTACTGTGATAGCCAATAGTAGACCAGGTCTCCAGGGCTTGACAGCAGTTAGGGAAGGAAAAGTGGAAAAATCTGAGAAGTTAAGGGGTCAGTGAAATAGTAGGGTCAGTTCCTAGACTAAGCCACCCACTCACTGAGTGGCTTGGGAAGATCAGTTTACACACATAAATCTACGGAATTCTAAAAATAGCATCCATCTAGAGTTCATCAATCTGTTCTTTTTGCACTTTCCTAGAATACTTTCTTGTCATCATTAGAGGTCCCCTTCCCCCACCCTCTATCAACCAAATGCTCAGCTATACGACATGTACAAAAACCTCCCGAAACTAACGTGGCATAAATATCAAGTATTGTAATTATTCCGTTACCAAAAACAAAAAGCACAATCTAATTTTCTAAACACTTATAAACCACTACCCTTAGTTCCTGTTATCCCAAGAAACCCAGCATTAACTAATCTTTCTCCATTGATAAGTGATCACCATATTTTTGTCAGTTAGTAACAAACCGCCAGTTATTAAACAAAATACAGGATACTCTTACAAAAGGACTTACATTGGGGAATGCACCATTAAATGATAAAGTCCAGACTCACTGATTCATATAATAGTAACAGCTGACATTTATTGAGCACTTACTACATGCCAGGGCATCCTACAGCAGCCACATACAGTGCCTAATTTAACCCTCTGAGGAATCTTTAAAAGGTGGGTGGCATTATCTCGATTTCATGTTAGAGAATGAGAATATTATATGTCATATGCCAGGACCTTGACAAAATGCATGGAGCATGGACTTCAGAATAACAGCCTCACATCTCAATGTTTAATATGGTAAAAGCATGTTAAAACTTAAGTGCCAGGAATTTAGCACAAGGACCTAGGAACAGAGAGGTTAAAGCAGCTACTACAAATGCTTATGTTCTTTTACCTTTAAAAATCATGTGACTTTTAAATTCCATACCATGATATATGTACAAGTTTATTATACATAATATAAGAAAACTGTCTCTCCCTAATTTTCAAGTAAAATTGATGTTCCCAGAGTACAAGTCCCTACATAGGAGACTGGACGCCGCTACATTTCTTCCACATCTCAGTTCTGTGACTAAAAATTGAAGGTTTCAAACCAAGGATATTTAAATAAAAAAAAAAAAACATGACTGAGGGCAACCGTGTTAAGGGTGCAGGACCAGGAATCAGGGTACCTGTACTCTAGTGGCCACACTCTTATTACGTTATTAGGTTTTGATCAAGTCATTTACCTTTCCTTAGCTCTGATTCTGTTTTTTTAATCCAGTAATTTCAGGACACTTCATACTTGTGAGCTAAAAGACATAGTGCAGGTAAAAAGACATTGAAACCTATAAAAACCTTCGTTTTGTTTGATATAGCCCAACTCTCACTTGTCAACGAGGTCCCCAAAGTTAAAGCAACTTGTGCAATATAAAAACAAGTTTGAAAGTAAATCCTGGTTAAGAAACTGAATCCAGTTATTTTTCTAATGTATCACACTGTTTTATATAATCCAAACTATGACTTTTAACTTCAGACTAGAAAAATGTTTCATTCTTGAACAATGTAATTGAAAGTCAACGGAAAAGGCTCAGCGCCTGTAGCTCAGCAGCTAGGGCACCAGTCACGTACACCAGAGCTGGTGGGTTCAAATCCAGCCCAGGCCTGCCAAACAACGACAACTACGACCAAAAAAACAGCCAGGCATTGTGGCAGGCACCTGTAGTCCCAGCTACTTGGGAGACTGAGGCAAGAGAATTGCTTAAGGCCAAGAGTTGGAAGTTGCTGTGAGCTGTAATGTCACTGCGACATAGTGAGATTCCATCTCCAAAAAAACAAAAAGACAACAGGGGCAGTGCCTGTGGCTCAGTGAGTGGGCAGGGCACTGGCCCCATATACCAAGGGTGGTGGGTTCGAAGCAGGCCCCAGCCAAACTGCAAACTGCAAAAAATAGTC